CACCTTAGTGGATCCTCTTAAGGATGCCTGATCTCTTTTCAAAATGTTTTTTTTAGTAAGATTTTATTAATATGATCGCCAAATAAGAACTATTCTGAGCACCTTAGCCCATGATATCTGAAATTGAGAGTATTTTGTTCTCATTTGTAATCCTCAGAGGGGGCAGTGAAAGGTGAGCTGGCTAAAATTACTAAAACATAAAACTGGGTATTTTGTGTATAGTTGTCTCACTTAGTTTCACAAGGAAATCGAGGAATAATGTGACCATTGATTTTGAAGTTCATCCTTTCAATATTTTAGTCCCTCCAATGTCATTTTGTAACTGACAATTGTTTCATTTTTATAAATTTATTTAAATTTTATTACATGTTTCAATTTTATTGTACTTGAGATTATTATACAGTGAAGTTACTGTCTTGTACAGGAAACCAACAGGTTAGAATACTTGATTCCCAAGAAGACATCTTTGAGGCACAGATTGCCAATGGGAGACCAAGGCTTCGTTGACTTTGTTGCTTATTTGCTTGAGGTTGAGCCAAAGAAGCGGCCTTCTGCTACAGAGGCCCTTAAGCATCCATGGTTATCATACCCATACGAACCCGTATCATCTTGATGCATTTGAAGTTCTTCTGCCTATTTGAATATAACACTGTCATTTACCTGTGTAAATTAGATTTGGTTTCTCATTGAAGGAAGGCTCACTACCTTGCCTATATACCCCGGCTGCTTTTTCATGATCTATTTTAGAGATGATATGGAAAGGAGCAGTTCTACACTCCTACATGATGACATCAAAGGCATGTTTAGTTCTATGAGTAGTCTTTCCTTGTCCTTACTAACATGAACTCCAAACTACCACGATTTAGGCCATAATTTTATACGGTTCATGTCCTGTTAGGGTTTTTGTTTGTTTCGCTGGTTCTGCCAAAAAGCGATAACCTGAATCATCTTCTCCACAATGTGAGATTATTCTTTTAGGGTATTGAGTAATATGTTGTGGAATGTGGAACATTCATCCCTTTTTTCCCAATTGGACGTGTGACAACCATTTGCTGCACCCATCAAGACTGAACTAGAGCCGGTGACTGTCACTGGCGGCTGAACCGGATTTCTTTTTTAGTGGGGAGCAACCTGATTGTATTTTGATGGAGTGAAGGAAGCTTCCTTTGGTTTACTTAAGGCATACTGGGGATTGGGTAACAGTCTGGCAAACGGATTCTACTGGCAGGGTGGACTAAGGAAAGCAATTTCCCCAATGGGTAGTATTTGAAGTTGTTGCTGGCTTGAGCTCTGTTCCCAGATCCTACTTTTTCTAAGACTTAGTTAATTGTTCTTTAACATTATATATCATGTAAATATTTTGTCGTTTATCTAAATATTTTTATCATGGCTCTTCGACTGGTTGTTATGAAATTATGCTTGCTTTGTTTAACTTGAAATTGAAGCAAGCTGATATTATGATAACTCAGAGATACCTTTGTGTGATGATAAGAAAAGGATTGATTCAATCCCTTAAGTTTTATAGGTGATAATAAATGCGAGAAAACGAAGGAAAGGTGCTTTTTCTATGTGAACCACGTGGGATCCCCACATTAATTGGTCGGAAGGAATAATTTCAAGAACTCAGTATTTCTCGAAACAAAAAATGACTCGAATTGAAAAGACCTATTTGTAGTCTTTCATGAATTGTGGAAAAAAAAGACTCGTTTGTCTTTGAATCCTCTGAAATAAATGAAAGTGAGTGAGAGAGTATTTTGCTAATTTTTAATCTTTGGAGGATTCAAATTCAAGTATGGAGTGTTTGGAACACTCCAGGAATATTTTAAAAAAATATTTTTACGTAAATCGAGATAAAACTCTTTTTATATATTTATTTTATATACCGTAAAATTATTTTTACAATCATAATTTGATTTTCATCTAAATACTCCTAAGTCTATTTAGAAAATCTAGATGAAGAGTTTCATCAATGTCTGGGCAACATCTAATTGAAATGAAGGGGGGAAAATTCATCCCAATATGTATTATTTCATTATTTTCACTAAAAGATAAATTAAAATATGTGTGATTTAGAGCAATTAAAAAGGTATAATAATATTTATTTTGATTAAACTTGTAAAATAGTTAATGAAAGAAGCATGAAAATAGAACCAAGGGCATAAAATAGACTATCTCCAAGAAAATTGCCTATCATATGATATAGTTCAATAAAATTTATGATTGATGGCCAAAAAGAAAAAGTTCGGCTCTTTGAGCATGCATGAACTAATATTAAGAGAAGAACATTAAATGTGACAGTCAAATAATATTGAGTGAAAATTTGCAATTGATATAAGTGAGTGAAACAATAATAGAGCACAAACTTAGACGTAAGCACAAATTCCTTCGAAAAATCATCTCATCTCTTAAAAAGTTTCATATTTAGGCGGGGAACTTATGCTTTCAAGAATATTTTGTCAAAAAATAAAATAATAAAAAAGTCATGGAACAATTACTCTTTTGTTGCAAAATCACAGCCATAGATTAAGGCCGAAAGCTGATGTAAAAGGCATATATATATATATTATAAGAAAAATTGCAAATAAAAACCCCTGAATATGTAAAATTAGAATTTAGGATCCTAAATTTAAAAAATAGCAAATAAGGACCTGGTCTCACTTTTGCAAATATGAAATGTCGGTGAAATGTCTGAAATGCCCCTCAGCAAAATGACAAGTTGACTATGAAAAATGACAAAGTTCATTTCAGCGAATGACAACTTCAGTAGATTAATCACAACTTAGCTGAGGGTATATCAAATAACGAGTTGACTATGGGAAATGACAAGTTCACTTTAGTGAATAACAATTTTAATAGACTAAATCACAACTTGACTGAGAGGTATTTCAGACATTTCACCAACCTTTCATATTTGCAAAAGTGGGCAGGTCCTTATTTGCTATTTTCAAAATTTAGAATCCCAAATCATAATTTTACATATTTGGGGGTCTTTATTTGCAATTTCTCCTATATTATATTGATTTCTTTTTTTATAACTAAAAAGTACATTTTGAATATATATTTTTAGTGCATTTGGAAACACGAGAGAGAGAGAATCATTACATGATTTTTCAACTTTTACACTTTTTTCATTTGTTTTGTTACTTAATTTGTTTGAAAAAATATTTTATGTCCGATACTACTACTAACTAATTCAAAGTCAAGTTGCCATTAACTATCCAGAGTTTACATGGACTTTTTATACTTTTCCTTTTTGAAGAATGGCTCTTATTATAATATTTTGTTTAAAAAATTAATAGTATTGACCCTTCTCATTTTTCATTACTTTTTTTTAAAAAAATTAATCAAAATTAATTCGTCTGGTTCCAATTATGATTTCCCACTTGAATGCAAAACTGATGCATCCTTTTTGTCTTACTCCAAAATTGAGCAAGAAATATAAAGAAAAACTTAAAGACAGGTGAAGTCCTTCAGTGAACACCCAGCCATATTGATATGATATTAACAAATAATTTTTTTAATATTTAAAACTTAATAATAAATTCATCTAAATTTTTAAGTCTAGGTAAATAACCTAAAACTAATCAATTTTATACTCCCTTAAACTATATTCTTGCTTGTATATATAACTTCTGAAATTCTAAGTTACATGCAAATAAGCTCTTTTCACTTTTAACAATGTGCAAATAAATAATAAACAAAATTAATAGCATGCGAGTTATTTGTATAGATATAATTTGTTATAAAATTTTCAATATTAACAAGATTATTTACAGTTATAAGAATTTTGTATGATTTAGTGATTCAACAACACAACAGTAAACTACTATAGGTGAGAATATGATTCATAATGCACCCAAAAAAAAATCCATTATAGTATAATAATGTAAATTATAACCACTAGATTAGATCATTAAACTTAAAAATCCACAAAAATATATTAGTTAAGAGAATTGGAATATATATATATATATAGAGAAAATACTTAGATCAAGTTTTTATATTATTATGTAAGTTCTTTGAGAACGCTTATCATATGTCCTTTTTTTTTTTCATACACATTTTTTTATAACATGCTTTAATTTGTCCTGTACTCTCCAAAGGCATAATTTGAGATGAAAGCGTATAAAGTCGATGCTTATAATCAAAATCTAAAATTCTAAATTCTTCTCGTGATTCTCTTTGTCACCATTAACATGCACCTATTGCAGGGTTCTTATTCGTAACGTCAAAATTAATATCCTCTAATCTTTTTTTTGGTTCTTAATTCATTCATTTATTTGTTTGATTTATTTTTTAAATATAAAACTTTTTGATAGCACGTTCACTGATTATTAAGTACATATAATTTTAGCGAAATAGGAGGAGAAAATTAAAATAAAAGAAACGATTCATCTGGGAGGACCACATTGTTCAGCCTATGATCCTCTAAAGTTTAAAACTTCAAATTTATAAGGGTTAATACAAACTTTAATTCTTTAACTTTATTTTTATTTTGGGTTTTGATCTTTTAAATTTTTTTTAATTTAAAACATTAGTCTTTAGAATCGAATAAAAATTTGGATCATTTTACCACTTGAAAAACCAAAACCTATTATTTGAAATTTGAGAGACTAATATTAAAATGAGGGTAAACTTGAAAGACTAAAACTATATTAACCCAATTTATAAATTATCATGAAGTTTCCCTTTTTGGATTTTCATATTCTTTTTTTAAAATAAAATCCTAAATTAGCAAACTTTATGAAATTTAATTATACCTCCACTTCCGGGATTCATATCATAATCTTTATAGTTATACGATTATATTATTATAGGTAGTAGTGTTTTAGTATATTTATACTGATTGACGATGGATGATTAAACAAAATATTTATATAGTTTAATATTTTTTTATTCTATTAGAAAACATAAATAAAGGAAACAAATTAACTATAAAATGCTTTTCGTCGCTGCTCTCCTTCTTTCCACTGCTCTCCTTTTCTCACCGTTTAAAAAAAGCTTCACACAATGGACGCCAGGACGGCGATGAGAAGACGAGACGACGACGACGACGACGACGAAGAAGAGTTCAACTCCGCCAGGAAGCAGCCACGCAAAAGATTTCGCTTTCGGCCACGTCTCCATTTGTGTTTCGCCGACCCCGATTCTAGTTGGCGAACCGGAAGCGCCCCGCGCGGTAGCGCCACCGCTGATCTCCACCGCCGATTCCTGATTCGTCCAGACAACGGGTACATCTCTCTCTCACTCTCCCGGCGATAAACCGCTGTTCAACTTTCCATAACCGCTCCCTTCAATTTAGACAGATCAAGTGGATCTCTTTTCTTAATTTAGTTTCATAAATGGTCCGCTTTTCTTTTTTACTTTTTCCAGATAATCCACTTTTCTTGCTGGCAACATAAAAAAAAGAAAAAAGAAAAAAGATAATCCACTTTTACTTGATTTTTCTTCCACAAAACTAATTTCTGTTTGCAAGAAAATTTTTTTGCATGTTTGATATCGTAACTATAGATCATGTCCAATTCCAAGCTAGTCACTTGTTACTTCAATGGCTACAATATAGTAGTGGGTGTGTGTACTTCAAGAGCATGCATAAATGGTAATTTTACAATTCTTACTTTTTTATTTCATAATTGTAATGGTTTTAACACAAGTTCTTTTATTAATTTAAACAGTTTATATTTTTGCCATGACATTGATATTTGATGATTTCAACACAAGTATAATTGCTACGAAAATAACCTCTTTAAAGAAGTTGCTTACAGTTCAGCTCAGGAGTCCAGAGAAAAAAATAAAATTTAAAAAAATGTTTTTTATTTGAGTTTTCAGATTAAAATTTTAATTATGGTTAGATGCATGATGTATAATTACTTAATATTTAATGAATTTTTCGCAAATGATCACCCCGAAGCTTATTTATAGCTTCATGAAACTACTGTTTTGTGAATTTTCGATTTCGCCTTTTCTTTCTTTGTTTTTTTTTTTTTGGCCAACGATTTCGCCTTTTCTTGCTGGTTGCTAAATGCTAAGATATCCAATTTCAAACTTAAATTAAAATTTTCAAATAATTAATTAATACTGGGGAAAATGTGAGAATGTTATTAATCAGGATATGATAAGCTCCATGATAAGATAGAATAATGGACATGCATACACGTGGGAGGTGCTCCTTAAATCGTTAACTCTTAATCCACATCATGATTTGAAAGCCGCTTCCAAAATCCATATGACTCCTGTTTCGTCAAATTATGAAAGATTATTGGGAGAAATACAATGAAATTTCAAATAAAGAACATAATTATACGAAATTCCTAATGACAACAGAGTAGCTTGCAATGATAAGTTTCATAGTACTAAATAATCATTTCTTACTTATTATTAGGACTTATTAGTATTTTTATTTTTGGGATTTTATTGTAACTCTTTCAAGACTATTTGTTTGGAAAACTCTCATGGTGATAATTTTTTTTCTACATACAAGTCTTGGTAATAAAGCAAAAAATTGAATTTAAAATTTTCAGTTGGAAAAACAAACCTATTGAGAGACCCTTCTCCCTTTTTAGGACCGGGCCCAATATGGTTTTTTTTCTTAAAAAAAATTAAAAAAACTCAGAGGCTTTAAATTCTGAATTTTGTTGATAAAATGTTGCAAAAGAGAGCGAATTATTTTCGTGTAATTATTTAACGGGGTAAGTGTTCAATATGTGACTTGCGTTATGCATTTTGAAAATAATTTCCCCTATTATTAGCATTGTAACAAGTTTTCAACATTATGAGTTATTTGGCTATTTATTGATTTTTTTCTCAAAAAAATAGGAGTAATGTTTTAAAATACAATGGTAAGTGAATGCCGAACTTGGTATTAATCATAGATTTATAAATTTTTAAACATAAATTTTATCGAATGCAATTTCTGAAATAAACTTAATTGTTTTATTTTGGGTCTGAAATGTTTTTGGTGACAAGCAACTTATCTTTATAACAAAAGGCCGAAGATTGGTCTCAATAATACCTAGCCCAAAATTAAGGCCCAAAGGCAAGTTAGGCTTGAGTCTGTCCGACCCGAAAAAGCGAAGTTAGTCGTTAACGGACTTTTGGCGCCAACCAGCGTCGTGGTTTAAGCTGTGAAATTTGTTAGCCAGAAATAAAAAAAGCTGTGAAAATTTCGAATTCTCTACCAAGTTCTGTTTTCTCAGAAATGATGGCAACTTTGTTGAAAAATTTGCAGATGGTACATCTTGTGGAAGTATTTCATTCTGTTATGGGCGGTGTACTCTTCCTTCTTCACTCCTCTAGAGTTCGGGTTCTTCAGAGGATTGCCGGAGGAAGTCTTCTTGCTCGACATCGCCGGCCAGTTTGCTTTCCTTGTTGACATCGCCATCCGATTCTTCGTCGCCTATCGTGACATCCATTCCTATTGCATGGTCTACGATCACACTCAAATTGCCACGAGGTGCCCTTCATATTCTTCCCATTCTAATTTAACCTTTCAGTAATCTTTTTTTGCCGAATTATTTTGTTGATACTTTTGTTGGCGATTTCAATTGTAGGTACCTGAAGTCTCGGTTCACAGTTGATATTCTTAGCTGTCTTCCGTGGGATTATATTTACAAGGTATTTATTTATTCATTTGTCTATGCGACAAGGCTGGCTACAAGCCAACCTCTGTAATTGAGAACAAGTTGGTATATTGTGTGTTATTTATATTAAAATAGAAATTTCTAAAAAGAGTTAGACAGAAGTTCGATTATTTATAATTTTTATAAAATGAATTTTTTTTAATGCATATTGTTTCTTTGATTGAACCTCTTAATTAGTGCTTATAACAATTGACGCACCATTCGTTAGTTTTTTATTGTCCAACAGCATAATTAATTTAATTTCCTGAGCATGGATTTATTAGATCCACTTGATTTCTGTTATCGTTGATTCTATAACTTGGCCTTCTTTCTGTTTAAGGTGACATGAATTTATTTCCTTGGCCAGGCAACTGGGAGGAAAGAAGCCGTCAGGTATTTTTTATGGATTAGGCTAAGTCGAGCATGTAGAGTGACAGAGTTTTTTGAGAGGCTGGAGAAAGATATTAGGATCAATTACCTCTTTACTAGGATCGCGAAACTTCTTGTTGTAGAACTATATTGCACCCACACAGCTGCCTGTATCTTCTACTATCTTGCTACCACTTTGCCTCCATCAAACGAAGGTTATACATGGATAGGCAGCTTAAAGATGGGTGATTATAGCTATACAGACTTTAGACATATCAATCTTTGGAAGCGTTATGTGACATCGCTCTACTTTGCAATTGTTACGATGGCAACTGTTGGTAAGAATCTTGCTTTTAACTAAATCTTAGGAATCATTATAGTAAACCAACTCTCTCTTTATCTGGCTTACTTTCTTTCCTGCTCGTATGGGTTATTTTTTATCACTTTGTTGAGCGCCTGACGTGAGTTGATATAAATCCATGCTGAAATCGGTAACTTCGTTTTGTCTTAGTTTCTTATAACTAGATTTACTGGGAATGATTTCTTTATACTGTCAATAATGATCTTCCTTTATATGCTTGTTCCTTATTTAGAGACACTCGTTCAGAGTTGAATCTAACCTTTCTTCACCAAATACTAGGACGGTTTAACTTTTGTTAAGATGTGTTCTGATGCATTATTTTATCATTCCGCAGGCTATGGAGACATTCATGCGGTCAATGTCAGGGAGATGATATTTGTCATGATATATGTCTCCTTTGATATGATTCTTGGTGCTTACCTTCTTGGTAATATGACAGCACTGATTGTGAAAGGATCAAAAACAGAGAGGTTTAGGGATAAAATGGCTGATATTATCAAGTACATGAATAAAAACAATTTGGACAAGCAGATAACTAAAGCGATAAAAGGCCATTTACGCTTACAGTATGATCGCAGTTACACTGAGGCAGCTGTGCTTCAGGATATTCCAGCCTCTATTCGTGCAAAGGTTTTTGTAGCAGTGAAACTTGCTGCAATTATTTTGATGTTGTTAGTTTGTCATATTCTCCGTCTTTTTGGTTGAGTGTATCCCTACTGTTATTTCCCAAAAAAATCATTGACTTCAGAAATGCTTTTCTGAATTATATACATATTTTTTGAGTGAATTGCTCTCCCTTCTCTTGGAAGATGCTCAAATTAGACAACCCTCTCCATTCTTATGAAAATATACAAAAAGCCTTAGAAAACTGGGGAATGGCTATTTAAAACAGTTGTAATTTTACGTCAGCTTTGCTAAAGGAGGTCAATGTAGTTCGTCTTTTGATTTTAGGGATCTATTTCAAAATAGAAGAGATGGCCATGTAATTTAGACATCATTCAAGAAGGAAGTGTACTTTACTGATACTTTTATGACTATTTATCCTTGTTTGCAGATTTCAGTGAATTTGTATGAGAAATTTATACAAGAAGTTTCTCTTTTCAAGGGATGCTCTTTGGGGTTCATTAAGCAAATTGTAAGAAATTATTTCAACATTATCTTCTTGGATCAGAATTGTTATCTTTTTAAGTTTGGATTTGTCTGTTTACACCTACCAAATCCTACATCTTAATGTCTTTAGAAATGTAAATGTTTATCTGAGTTCCAATGTTGAACATTCGACTCATTAGATGCAATCTCAAAACTTGGGGAATTTACTCTAATGACAATAATGATCGTAATTATCTGATTTAATATTTTATGGGAACCAGTTCCTGGTCACTAAGTCATCAGAAAGAAGCATGAGCTGGTGAGCTTTCAGACAATATGCGGGGGTTTAGGCACCAAGAAAACATGCTTTTTGTCCGCAAATTTCCTATCAAGGCATTTAAACCTGATCAATGTTTTAAATATATCATTTTTGCATTTCATCTCAGTTTGTGTCCTAACAGAAACAGTGTAGAAGCTTGTCCTGTTTTGAGCAGAAATTTCTAATTGGAATTCTGGTTAGGCAATCAGAGTACATGAAGAGTTTTTCCTTCCAGGAGAAGTGATTATGGAGCAAGGAAATCTAGCCAATCAACTTTACCTTGTATGCGATGGTGAGCTGGTATGAATTTCCAGTTACTCATTTCAACATTTATCTGAAATTTTTTTTTTTGGGCATTTATTTGCAATGTGCACTTTATGGTCACTCTCATGCTCACTTGGTTCCAGTTGTTTATGATGTGTTCAAATTTTCAGCTGTTGATTCTTGTATTGTAACACGTTTCTGCTTGAGTTTTGCACGATAGGCACTGGATAGGAAAGATATTTGGCATGAATTTGAATTTGTGAACAGTTTTAAGACTATGAAAACAGCTTCAAACCTAAGTTCACTTACCTTTGTACCTTATGTAAAAGCAATGATCGTTTCCGGTAACTACAGTTTGGACCAGGCATTGATAATGTAGAGCTAGTGTAAAACATCAGAACTACCCTTTGTGTGCAGCTTTAACTGCAGTACTGCACCTGGTTTAAAGGAGAATGTCATGGAAGATGAAGAACATACCAGAATATTTTACTAACCAGAGACATTTGAGCAAATTTGATTCAGAGCTTTGATCAATGTTCAATCTGCAATTTCTCAGACATAAGGATATTCAAACATTTGTTTCACCCATACGTGCATTAAAATATTCAATCTGAACAAGGAAGTTGTGTTAAATCGAGGTATGCCCAAAAAAAAAAAAAACAACAAAAAAAAGAAGCATAATAATGATTGCTAAATTATTTATCTTTTGACCAATTTGCTTCTTTATTGGCAAAAGCGGTGTAAAGTCCCATCCAAGGCAGCAATTTGCATTTTATTTGGCTGTAAATTGGGCCTGACAGCATTCTATCTTCTTTATAGGTTGAGATGAGGAGAGAAGATGTTGATAAAGAAGTGTTCATAAGGCATTTGCAAGACCACTGTTTCTTTGGCGAGGTTTCTTTTCTTTGTGATATACCTCAACCTTCAACAGTACGAGCATGTGAATTTTGCAAGGTTTTGCGACTTGATAAGCATTCCTTTATGGAAACACTGAAGGTGTATTTTGCAGATGGTCGAGCTATCATGAACAATCTCCTCGAGGTCTGTTCACTGTGGAAAATTGGTTTTTCTTTCTCTTTTCCATTTCATATTTTGGTTGAAAATAACATCTATAACTTCAAAATGTTGCCGATTAAATATATTGATTGTAACTGACAAGGATTGAGTCTAATAAAAAAACGCTAATCTCTCATAACGTGGCAAACCAATGTTTAAATCCCCGCTAGTACTAGTGTTCACATTTAGTGTCTGAGTGTGCCTTAAATGGGATTGTCTACAATAGGAGGATACACACACACTGATCGTAGTTCACCTCGTTATTGGCTATTTTTTGGGACCTAGAAGATGTCTGTGCCTACAAACTCAGGATTTTTCTTCTATCTGTGGTTTCCCTCGCCCTAGGAAACATCATCACATAGTTGTCTCTGCATCAAGAAAGATTGGCATGATGTTGAGGTCATGATTTGATTCCAAACATCTGAGATCTATCCACTATAACTGTAGTAGGTAGCAGCGCACTAGCACATCGCAAAACAGAAATGTTGCGTCATTCAAGTATACATCACTTGGCATTAGAAATTTATGTGTTAGCCTTTGCCGTTGGCTTCAGATCTTTTCTTGATATTTCCTTATTTCATGATTGTTCTTGACTAGCAGGGAAAAGATTCCAGTATTCAGCAGAAGCTCCTGCAATCAAACTTCTCCTTGATTCTTGAAAATCATGAAAAAGAGATGGTTATGAGAATGAATTGTGCTGCATACGAAGGGGACATTCACTTTTTGAAACGTTTGATTGAATCAGGAGCAGATCCCAACAAGACTGATTATGATGGTAGATCACCCTTGGTATGAATTCTGTGCGCCCAACATATTATTTCATGATTCTATGATAATGAAGCCTCCTGTGCTGTCACTTACTGTATTGTACATATGAAATGTCCTGTACTTTCTCTGTATGATATGAGTGGGTGAAGCTTGTCCTTGGAATGACAACGTCGGCAACTTGTGGGAGGCAATGATCTCCTAAACAGATACCAGTCTAAGTTTCACAAGTTAATGCCAGGCCTTCAGTTCCTGAGTCAGATTTTCTTCATGCTTACTTTTGTATGAAAAAATAAGTGGTAAAAGGAGGAGAAAAAGAGATATTATTAATTGAGAAATCATATGGTCAAGTAAGCACTTGATAGAATATGCAGGGAGGACCAATGAGGGTTGAGTCTAGCGGAAGGGGCTAGTCCCTCATAACGTGGTGAACCAAGGTTTAAATCCCTGCTGGGAGAGGTGCTCACATTTAGTGCTTAACAGTGCTTCAAATAGGATTGCCTCTAATAGAAGGATACCCATACTTTAGCAAAAAGAATATGCAGGGAGGGAAAAACATTGTATTAACTTGTTTTTGTGTTTGTTTTTCAGCTTATTTCTGCATCAAAAGGATATGTAGAAATCGTTCATTTTCTTATTGCACATGGAGTGATTATCAACTTCTCTGGTTAGCTTTGAAACTTAACTTTAATTTGAATTCAGTGACTACAGCCAAATTTTTTGGTTATAAAAAATGACACAAGCATAACATTATATTAAATTTTAATTAACCATTTGTCCTAGATAAATTTGGAAGTTCCCCCTTGTTTGAAGCCATCAAGAATGGACATGAAGAAGCATCTTCTTTACTTGTGGATGCGGGGGCTACTCTTACCATGGATCATGCTGGGAACTTTCTTTGCATGACTGTTGCAAACAAGGAGTTGAGCCTTCTAAGGCGGGTCTTGGATTACGGTATAAATCCAAATGCCAGGAATTATGATCAGCGTACACCTCTTCACATAGCCGCCTCTGAAGGTTTGTGTAAAATGGCTGAGTTGCTTCTAGAAGCAGGAGCAAGTGTTTTATCAAAGGACAGGTATGATTTAAATATCAAATATTTATTAGCTCTGTCGGACAACGACTTTGTATGTTTTCCACACCTTCTATGATTCTAATGTAAAATCAGAGTATTGGTAACAATAGGTGCTCCCATAACGGTATTCCTGTCTCGTGTTTATTGACTTGCTTAGTAATTCCTCGACGACTTCCTACTTGCAGATGGGGAAATACGCCGCTTGATGAAGCTCATATGGGTGGAAATAGGAACATGATCAAAATGCTCCAAGTTGCAAAAATTTCTCAGTTGACCGAATTATCCCACAGTATACAAGAATCTCGAGGTATGATTACCTTTCTTAAGCATGTCATGCCTTCTTGGAGGATTTTTAGGAGGTGAACATTTAAGCATTTTGCTTGAGAACGTGTACTGTGTACCTTCAATGTAGGGAGCATAAATATCCTTATTTTTGGATTGAAATAAGAACTCATTATAAACACGGATATCTAAAAGGTTAAGAGCCTAGGATTCCCAAGCACTGCACTCAGTTCTTTCCAACTTTAGCATTCCAGTGCTTCAACTTAGGAACATAAAATACTCATAACTGTATCTATCACTAGACTAATGAGAACTTATGCTGTCACTTACAGAGGAGTGGAGCACCTATCAATAGACTAATGGTTTTTCCCGTTTTATTACAATGGAATTTCTCCATTATAACTGTATCAGGTCTAGTTAACTGGATTGTATCCCTTTTTTCCGTAGAAGTAAAGAAAATCCACTACAACTGGATTGTTTTAACAACAACAACAATAATAATATACTACGATCTGTCTTCGCAGCAAAAGTGCTATTACCTTCAACAGATGAAATTCCAAGAAAGAAATGCACTGTGTTTCCTTTCCATCCATGGGATCACAAAGAGGAAAGAAGACAGGGAGTTGTCTTATGGGTTCCAAAAAGCATTGAAGAACTTGTGCAGGTGGCAATGAAACATCTGAACTCTTCAAGTGGTTCCTGTATTTTATCAGAACATGGGGGTAAAATTCTTGACGTCGACTTGATTGGCAATGATGATAAGCTATTTCTGGTGAGGGAAGAACAAGCAGAGAGTTCATAAATTTATCGAGAAGTTTGAGTCACCCAAGGCACCACCAGGCACAGCAGAAGGGAATATGCAGTTAAAACTAGCTTCTTCCAATCTGCTTTTCCCTCCCTCTGGCAGAGAATGAAAAATCATGGAGAAAAAACAGAGGTGGGAAGGAAGAATATTGCCTAAGGCCTCAACATTTTGATTTATTTGCATTAGGTGCCTTTTAGAGCAGAAGATATTTGGTGGAAATGATGTATGTTATGAACTGCAATTGTTATTGAAAGTAAAAAGTTTATCATGTGAAATGAACCTCCCCCAACAAAAGGTGTAGGATCTCGACAGATCTTGAGGCTTATTTTACTGTTTCAATTCAGCATTGATGTACTCACTGTTCTGAAAACCCAAATTGGGTTAACTGTGTTGATATTAACTATGTATTTAATTTCATGTTGAAAATCATTAAAACCATAGTTTAGTTAAACATTATACTAAAAAATGATTTATTTATTTATCTGCTTATCATTCATTGATGTGATGTCAGTGTAAAATTAAATAATTGATACTCCTCCGGTCCTAAATGTAAGACCCTTGTACTAGTGTGTATAAGGGTCTTACATTTAGGACCGGAGGAGTAATTCATCAATATATATTGGACCGTTTTATTCCTAAATGTACACCGTAATCTTACAAATTATACTTCTTTCAAGAAAATTTAAACATTTCTATACAATGCATAGAGAATAAAAAGATTTGGCGGTTGAAAATGTTAGGAACCTATAATTTGCGTTAATCATGATTCGGGAGGTTGGTAGCACATTTATCCGGCTAAGTTTTGCACCTTTTATTGGTTCCTTCCAACCTTAGGAGATAAGATAACGGAGACAAAAGAGCTCGTATTTCACCATCACAGTTCTTTTTCTTTCTTTTCTCTTTCTTATATGAAAGGTGAAAAAAACTCAAGTGACAGATGAGTCAAAACTAAAGCTCTGAAAATTCAATAATATCACTAAGGTTTGAACAAAACAGTGGACCTGCTTTCACCCTTTTGAAATCTTTTCTCTCTTATCATGTGTCAGGGAAGTATTAAAAAAAAAAACTATTCAGATTTAATTTTTCATTAAGGACAAATAAAAAAATGAAGTGTTGTAGATAAATTGGGATGGTTGAAAGTGATGGATGCAATAACCTTGATGGCAAGCAATGTAGAACTCAATGTTGGAAAGTCTTGAAGACAAAGAGAGCCTCCAATTGGTCACATGATGAGTTCTAATTCCTGAGCTCTTCAAAAACAAACAGAGATAGCTTCTACCTTTGCCCATTTGGATTCTCCCCAGGAAAAAAAAAAAAAAGCATTGCTCTATCTAAAAAAATATACTTCATGTGGGAAAATTTACTGGGATTTTCTAGGATTCTATGCATAAAATGAGAAAGTGACAGAATGAGGGTGGGGGGAATGGAGTTTGGTTCAAGATGTAGCCGTGTGTAACGACTAATGACTGAGATGGTTTCTCGGACCAGGCTTCATTCCCCTCACTTCCTCCTCTCTCGCTCGTCAAGAAAGAAGCTGCAGTGAAGAATCAAATGTGAATAGAGGTCAGTAGAATTGGTAAGTACTTAGATCGTTATTTCACAGTAGTGCAGGTTCAAATTTCATTATTGATGTTAAAAGCTCTTTAGTTTGTAACGTGTAAATATTTTCATAAATTTTTTTTTAACCATGATGCTGCTCTAATTCTAATCAATTCTGGAAACCAAGTAAACCTAGACCTTGTTTGATTTTCTATTTTCAAAATAATTTTTATTTTTTTAAATTAAGTTTTAAAAAAAAATTTGATCATTAATGTTCAACTAATGTTTTGTAAAGTAAGAAAAATAATAATATGTTTTAGAGGAAAAAAAAGAACAACTTTTATAGGTTTTCTTATCTATTTTAAAAATCTTTCTGATTTCTGGTTAAATTCTTAATTTCAACTCAATAATAGTTTAATTCTGATCTAGTTCTTCTCAGCCACAAAAACTTATTTTCAATTAACATTTTAACCAGTCCGACTTCAGTTCTTTCGTCACTGCAACGTTCTCAACAATGTGTGGATTTAATATTATATCATCTCAAAAAAAATTCATTATTCACATGCTCATTATATATTTTTGTGAGATTTGAACTTACAATGTCATCTTTTTTTTTCTTGCCAAAACTTACAACCTTGTTTAAAAAAGTTGGGTTAATATAAACTTGGTCCTTTAAATATATTGTCATTTTGGTTTTGGTCTTTCAAGTTTTAAACAATAAGTTTTGATTTTTCAAGTTTCTTTTCATTAATTCAATAAAAGATTAGACTATTTTATTTTTTGAGAGACCAAAACCAATGATTTAAAACTTAAGAGACTAAAATCAAAATAAAAACAAACTTGAACAACCAAAAATTATATTCATCAAAAAAATTTTAAAGAGAAATACCTGGTATCAGCTAGGTTAAATATAAATGTTATCTTGAATATTTTTAGTTCTATTTCCTTTTTTTCCCCCTCTTATTAGACAAGGACAAGGACGCGGTTGGTTCATTTTTTAATTTTGAGTGTAATTACTAGTCCATTACATGTCCTTTAAATGTATTCTCATTTTGGTTTTGGTCTTTTAAGTTTTAAACAATAAGTTTTGATTTTTCAAGTTTCTTTTCATTTAAAACATTAATCCTTATAATTCAATAAAAGATTAAACTATTTTACTTCTTGAGAGACTAAAACCAATGATTTAAAACTTAAGAGACTAAAATCAAAATAAGAACAAATTTGAATAACCAAAAATTATATTCACCAAAAAAATTTTAAAGAGAAATACCTGGTATCAGTTATGTTAAATATAAATGTTATCTTGAGTATTTTTAGCTCTATTTCCTTTTTTTCCCCCTCTTATTAGACAAGGACAAAGACGCGGTTGGTTCATTTTTTTAATTTGAGTGTAATTACTAGTCCATTACATGTCATTTTCCCTCCTTGATTTTTCTCCCCCTCCAGACAAAATTGTTCTAATCTTCGCCGTTAAGCATTGTTGTCCATACTCGCGTTGAAAAGTGAAATTAGTTTCACTTGCAAATAGGCTCTATCATACTTATTCACTCACAGATATCTATTTTTTTTAATGAAAAACTGGATTCAATATAACAAAAATACAACTAAGCTAGCCAAGCTATCACTCGTCACCAAGCTCCTCCTCCTGTTGCATAAGAGGTGGCTCACGAACATCTTTTTCACATAGTAAAAAAACTAATTCCAGTTATAAATATATATATGTATATTATAAATTGTCTAGTTTCGCTTACAAGTAGGCTCTCCCACTTTTATTATGAGGGGTAATAGCGTCATTTTTTTGTGAAATTAATATTAGTTTGGACCTTGGTTCTACAGTGAAGTTTTAAAAAGTTTTGGAAGCTCTTTAAAACCAATTCTTGCAATTCTCAAACGAAATTTTCTCTTTTTCCCCCCTCTTATTAGACAAGGACAAAGGAGAAGGACGCGGTTGGTTCATTTTTTAATTTTGAGTGTAATTACTAGTCCATTACATGTCATTTTCCCTCCTTGATTTTTTTTCCCTTCAGACAAAGTTGTTCTAAACTTTGTTGTTAAGCATTGTTGTCCACGCTCGCATTGAAGAGTCAAAACTTATAAATGGGTTTTTCTATACTTATTTACTCACAGACATCTTTTTTTTTAAATGAAAAATGGATTCAATATAACAAAAATACAACCAAACTGGCCGAGCTATCACTCATCATCAAGTTCCTTCTCCTGTTGCGTAAGAGGTGGCTCACGGACATCTTTTTCAGGTAGTAAAAAGATTAATTCTAATTATAAATATATATATATGTTGTAAATTGTCTAGTCTCATTTATAAATAGACTCCTTTACTTTTATTATGAGAGGCAATAATTTTATTTTTTTTATGAAATTAATATTAGTTTGTACCTCTTTCTTGGAACGAAGTTTTAAAAAGTTTCGGAAGCTCTTTAAAACCAATTCTTACAATTGTCAAACGAAATCCTCTCTCTCTCTCTCTCTTAAGTGTAATTACATTACAGGTCATTTTCCCTCCAGGCAAAGTTGTTCTAAACTTGGTCGTTAGGCATTGTTGTTCACGCGGCATTGAAGAGTGAAATTACCCTTGTCGGTAATCCACTGAAGAAGGAACAACTCACCCTCTGCAAAGCAAGGAAGAAGGAGACGGAGGAGGCAAGTGAGTGGTGATACCAACGATTACCCGAAGATGGCGCTTCAGTGGATTATTCTCACCTATGTTGTTGCAGCTGAGGCAGCCATTGCTGTTCTCCTCACTCTTCCCTCTCCCAAGCTCCTCAAGAACCATTTCGTCTCTCTTATTTCCCTCATTCTTCAACCCGCCCTTTTCATTGTTCCCTTCTCTGTCTTCCAGCTTCTCGGTATTCGTTTCTCTATCTTCCTCCTTCCTGCCCGAATATCTTCTGTTTCGGTTGGGGGTGGGGGTCGGGTGATTTAAATTTACTTTGTCTAGGGTTTCCCTGTGTGCATTTCTGCAATTTTGGAAATGGAATTTTTTCTGGTGGGATTTTCAATTGTTTGCACTGAGTAAGCAGGATTTGTGGTTGATTCCAGATATATACTGGAAAAAGGAGCATCGGTTGATGTGTACTTCTGAGGTCTGTACTGCTGCAGAGAGAGACCGATATGAGAAATCTGTAAGCATCTTTCATATTCATTGTTTTTCCCCCCTTTCTTCCAGGATTTGAGTTTAAGGTGAGATAATTAATTGAGGCATCGATAAGGAGCTAAATAACTGATTTAGAGAATTATCGGTGAAAGATCGATGTTGTCTTACCATGGATGTAGCATTTAAATTTCTGACTGCGTTTCAGCCGTTGATCATTGTTTCAGAAAACGTTGCTTTGAATATTGCAAACAAAACAATGACAAGAAGCCTGGGTTAATTGGGGTTTAACCACGTAAACCCTGAATTAGTGCTGATTGTACCGTGCCATATAGGTTCTCTTTTGCCATGATTTTGTTGAGTTGTACATTCTCTTTCGTCTATTTAACAGATGTGGTGTTCTTGGTTTAGAACTAGAGCTGTATATCTGCAGAGCAATTTTAAATGCTATTCATGCTCCTCATCGTTTTAAGATACTCCCTCCAATTCAAGATATAAGATGAGTTTTATCCATCTACGGTTATCAATTAAAATCAGTTTAAAACAATAAATATGAAGGTTTTTTTTTTTCAAACATATCCTTATTAATAAAATAAATAAATAAAAGTTGCAACAAACGGGTCAAAGAGAAAAGAGAATATATGTTAAGGGTAAAAAAAATTTTAAAAAAAAAAATTACTAAATGCTTAGGCAAAACGAAATGTTATCTTATAAAAATAATCAAGTTTATCTTATATTTTGAACTGAAAGGAGTACATGTTTTCTCAGCTCCTCACCTTTCTTTTGATTGAAGCTCTTTACTGCTAATATAAAAAGTTGACACATTTTATGGCCAATTTTCATTGCCACTGTTGGCTGAACTTCTCTTTTTAAATGCTGTTCCTTTTGTTGAGTTTGCTTTTCCTGAGATCATCTGCAGGCTGCACTCTAAAGCATATTTAGCAATCTAATTCACTCAGTTTGGCCACATGATCTGTTAGCAGTGTGCATGATGCAGAAAGAATGTTGTAGGTTATCTTTCTTATAGATATCCATAGTTGTGTAAACAAGAAGATGGTTATAATTTCTGAAGATGGAATTTTTACCTAGAGCATATGATAATTGATAATCAGGTTGGGGATGTTCCTTTGATATTTCCACTTTCTGTTGCTTCTTGTGATCCCTAACAAGTAACAAGATTTATACATGCATAGAAGAAACTTGTGCTGGAACTTCCAAATAAATGTTCAATATCAAGCATATAATGTGCATTGACAGCAAACTTATTACTTGATATGGTTAGATTCATAATTTTCCGATGGAATGATACAATTCAATTGGCTTTTTTGCCTTTTCCTATACCTGTTTCTTTAAAAGCGCCGTATGCTATTGACTCATTGACTGAAAATCAATTGGTGTTATTTAGATCTACAAAGCCCAGGGAAATGTGATTCTTTGTGTTGCAGCATGCTTTCTCTACTGGTAAGTAACAACACCACCCTTGTGGAAGCTTGGTTTTTGATCCTTGCCTATCATATGTATCACATTATCTGAACCTTTTTTTTTGGGGGGAAAAAATCAATTGTTATGTATATATGAGGGGATCTCAGGTCTAAACTGACGAGCTCCTTGCTTTTTAGATAAAATGAAATTAATTATCCTTATTTGGTTTGTGATTTCTGTTTGGGTTTTAAATGACTGTGGTGGCAGGTGTATATACCGTATTTGTAAATACCAGAAGGAGATCCAAAGTCTGGAGGAAGTGGAGAAAAGATACAAGGCTCAATAGTTTTCATAAGGCCACACCGTCTCTGCTCGGGATCTCCTTAGTACTATCAATCCTGAAGCTTAGATGTTAGTGCTTTTGTAAACTCTGTACAGTTGTCCTAATTTTATATATTTCCTTTTCACTAAAAAAAAAAAAAAAAATTTTCATAAGGCCTCATGGTGTATTGATGGGTTTAGTTCAACTTGAAAGCCAAATGATGCTATTACTCTATTATGTGATTTTTTTTTCTTTCCCCCTAAAATTACGGTTCTGTTGGACGTTGTATTTGTATATGTTTCCAATTTACTCTCCATGTTAGCCCAACGTGCTTTTTCATAAGCCCAATAATTTTCTTTTCACTTGTCTAAGTGCATGTGAAAGAATTTTTTTTGTTTTCAGCCTTTCTTTTTAAAAAGGAAGTTAGGTAGGTTGGGTTTATTTTTTCAGTTTTTTAAATAAAGTATACGTTTATAATATATTTCATTTCACACATCAAAATTTTAAAATAATATGCTTTTTTGGAAAACAACACATATAAATATTCTACTTACCAAAAAAAAATTATATAATATTCTTATTAACATATCAAAATGAAAGGGTAGTCTAATATATTATAGTTCATCCTTTGTAATAAATAGCAAGCTGATTTTGTTGATCTTTGTATGATCATTATATTATATACTATTTAAAATTGTAGAACATTCACTATTAATTCATTTCATTGATGTAAAAAATAAAATCCAACAAAAATAAGTTGATATATTTTGAGTTGTACCCCAAAAAAAAAAAGTTATCAATATTGTTGGTCTCACTTTGACTTATCTTACAATTATAGCAGTGTTTGGATGAATACCAAATTATTTTTAAAAGTAATTTTACGATATACAAAATAAATATGTACAGGAATTTGTCTCGATTTACGGAAAAATGCTTTCTAAAAGCATTTTTATCACTTGCCAAACACCCCCTATGTCAAAATGTAAAAGGCATACAGATTATTAATTAAAATTTAATTTAAATGATTCATACCTGGAATTAATAAAAACAAGAGAGGGGGGTGGAGGAGGAGAAGAAAGAAAGAAGATGGATTGGTGATTTAGTGTTGGTGAATATTGGTGAGCAGTCTGGCCCAAAAAATCATTTAAAAAAAAAAGAAAAAAAAAAAATAGAAGGAACTGTAGGTGAGCGGAATTGGCTTGAAGTGGTCAAGGGGAAGGAATTGGTCTTTTTCTTTTTCTTTTTATTTAATTCAACTGGCAACTTACATGAAAACTTTCATGCCATGTTTAAAGAAACACCACAAACACCAAAGTATACCATAAGCTTTAATTCTTTCCAACATTTCTTTGCCTTCCAAGTAACCGGTGCATAAAATCACAAAGGACACAGAAACTATTGTATGCAAGTATGATCTTAATTTTACTGTAATGTACAAAATGAATATCCTATCTGCTTGTATGGATTCTTTTAACCCTATGCATGACACTTGCCCTATCTCTTCTAAGTTCTAACTCTATGGAAGTAAATTAATGTGTGCCAAAATCTCAAAAAGAATTTGAGTTTCAAAATGATCTCTTGACATTCTTGAAATCTGAGTCCATGCATTCCAAGCCAGCCCTATAAGGATTGAACAATTTCAGAAGCTCTGTTGCTTTCTCCTTCGTTTCATCACCACAACCAACCTGCAATACTACTAACAGCTTCTGAAACGCACCAACTTGAAGTGCTTCAACCAGAGCTTCTTCTACTTCGTCTTCATCATCATCTTTGGATCCATATCTGCATAACTTCCAGATTGCAGACACACAGTGATCTGTGGCCAAAGCAGAAGCTCTTAAGATCTTCTTCACCAATACAGGAACTGTTAGAGCATTACTGAAAGCCCTTTCTCTTCCTTTTTGACAGTCACAGAGTGAATCAAAAACACCCAAGGCTTTCTCAGATAGGCTCTTGTCTGCGTCAATTAGGATCTCCAGAAGTGAAGAGATCAAACCCAGGCCAATAAATTCCAGCTTCACCTTCTCACTTGATGGATAAGAAGATGAAACCAAGTAATAAACAATCCCCATTGAAGCTTTCGTGATTGCTGGGTTTATTCTCTTGTTAATGAACTCCGCTAATAGATCAATGGTCCCTTCGATTTCTGTCATAGTCTCAAAAGTCTGTTCATTACCAGAAGAAAGGATCTCTCTCAAAGCAACGATGGCATTCTGTTTTCCGGAAAGATCTTGATTCTTGAGGAACCAAACCAAGCAACGCAGGGCATCTGAAGAATGCAAAATTTTCTGGGCTTCGAATTGAAGCGGAAGCATCCAATTTAGGGCATTCAAAATCTCCTCCAGCAAACTCCCATTTTCCTCAACGGAATCATTCGCAAATTCACGAAACGCAGAGGCTAAGACGCTAGGAGTACCATTGTCCACAATGCACCTTCTGTTTCTCTCGCTCTCTGAACCCCATACCTTGATTCTCTGCACACCTTGTAGAAAACCATACCGATCCAAACAAGACGCCGAGGCGTGAAGATGAAGAACAATCTCTTCGACTTGGGTTGGAGTAACAGGTATTCTGGGAGTCGGAATTCTCTCGATCCCAAATCGACGATTCTCAACGCACCAATCCTGAATCATAGCCCTAAGCGAGTGATTGGGAAGGAGATCAAAGCTGGAGAGAATCTGATTCGTTACAGGGCACGTGAAATTCCCATCTTCGAGCCACCGCTCGATGCTGGCACGATCGTAGGTGATTCCAGATGATAACGTGACGGGGTCTTTCATCAGATCAAGAGAAACAGGACAAACGAAATGGTTTGGAGTAACAAGCTCCAAGTTGAGCTTCCTGTTCTTGTTCTTCCTTCGACTCCATCCTAACACCATTTGCGAGGATTGGAAGAGAAGAAATCTGGGAGGGAAGGAAAACGATTGTACGGTTCGATAACGCAAAGGCTTGAGAATCTGAAGTTGGAATTGGTCTGTGTTGAGCGGGTGAGAATTTATATTTGATTAATACTGGGGGGACAAAGTAGATTCAAAACAGAGAGGCGAAGAATGATTCTAGAGAGAGAGAGATGTTTGTTAAGGAGGGATGTCAGGGGATGATCGGATTTGAATATTGACCGTTGAAGATTTGAAATAAATTCAAATCCAAGCTTCAAAGGAAGAATTGGTAAGCTACACTATTACTAGGTTGCTTTGTAGTTTTCTGATATTAATATTTAATGTTGCCAACTTGTTATCTTCATTTGTTCGTACCTGTGGGGCGGATTAAGGACACTCATCATTTTTCTTTTTGTTTTTTTATTTATTTAATATAATTAAACATATGCATGTTCATAAACATATATCAATACCAAACTTGAATCCAAAATTTCATTCAAGGGTGACAGATAACGTTGCCACTAAAATAACTAATTGCCAAGCTCGTTATTTTTCTCACCTTGTTTATATACTTACCATGTTATTTAGTTATTTTCTCTTATGGCATATATAAATTATAACTTTTGAAATAAAGCCCCTCTTTTTTGTGAGGTATGTTTTTTATTTATTTTGTTTATTTTAAAATTTAATCGATTGCATCTCTCTATATTAATTATACAAATAAATTTTTTCAAGGAAAAAAAAAACCTACTAGCACATTACATATGTGTGAGAAAACCAGTCTATTCATATCGTAACTTGTAAATAACATGATTCCATGAGATTTTATAATTAATATTAATGACATTGATAATAAAAATAAAAATAAACCATTGACGTAAAACGTATAAATAGTTGCCAAAAAAATATAAAACGTAAAATATAAAATAAAAATTATCACAAATCAAACTATTTATAAATCATAGTAGAATTCGCATTTACTCTAGACTTCATGCGATGCACCAAAAAAATATGTTTGATTTTATGCATGATTCATCTATACATGTACACACACCAAGTTAATAAATAAATAAAACATAATAAATATTTTTCGCCACGTAAAATAAAATGAATAACAATTAGTTGTTAAAAATAATTAAATAATATTTAGACCTAAAAATTATAATAATAGATAAATTGTAAATATATATTAATACACTTGCAAATATAAAAATTTAGGTGGCAAACGAAACATTTAAATAGTACAAGTTACTTGCAGTAATTTACTAATTTACAACTAAAATTTTCATATTTGCAACATTTTTTGTTTGAAATTTGACTATAATTAAATCGAAAATTTCAACCTAACTATTATTCTCCGTATCAAATACTTTACTTGAAGAGACAAAAACTTAAATTCCCCTCAAAGGAAATGAGCACATATACTAATTTATTATTTATTAGGCCGTACACATATGGTCCTTCGCGAGGAATGTGTCAATGAAACGGAATATTAAAAAAAATATTAATTTTATTTAGTGAAAGTTGAAGTCCTAACTGATAGAAGTCTTTTTATGGCATCAAAATTTTAATAACAGAAAGCGATAATCTCTGCATATTTTATATTTCTCTGGGTTTACTATTCTTCATAGCACCCTTGAATAAAGACTTTCCAAATAATTATCTACAATTCTTCTCGTTTGTTTGTTTGTTTTTTTTTTGGCCAACCTTTATTTTATTATTTTGAGAAAGCTTGTCTACCTTTTATCTTGGGAAATGTTCGCTCCAGTTCTAAATGTAAGAAAAATTTAAAAATTTATTTTGATTCTAAATATAATATCATAATACATTTTATTTCTCAGATTTATTATTTTTTAAAATTATCTTTATTGACCGTATACGTATTGGAATGCTTAAATATATGAAAATGGATGGTGAAATGTTTAATTTTTTTAATTATGAAATAAAATAGAAGTTGTCTTTAAGTTAAAACAAAAATACATACCATTCAAGGGTCAAAAATCGTGAGAATGGCACTGTAATACAAAGTTGAGAAGACCACGCCAATTTTTGACATCTTTGCGTGGAGAGCAAGATGATGAAAGTGGTGACATGAATAAATTCCTGTTGAAAATGATTTATCAGTTGTTAATAATAATGAGAATAATAAAAAATTAATAATATATAGCTAACCATATTTCGGGAAACCCTTAATTAATTAATTAATTTATCAATTTGGTCACAGATTTTGTTCTTATATTAGGTCCTCTGAGTCAACATTGGACGGTACCTACACTCTTCAAATCTAACTTTGTTTAACAACTAGATCTATTAATATAATTCATATTTTCATTATGAAAATTTGTTTAATAAAATTGTAATTGTAATGTGTGTAATATTCTTTTTTTTGTTGGGAAAAAACACTGATCATATGATACTGAGTCTGAAAATCACGAGCTATTTATATAATCTTGTTATGTTATTCTTATTGGATGATTTAATAACAAAAATATTTTTTGAAAAAAAACAATGTGTTTATATATTTGGATGTATATAAGAAAGGAAGAAAGAAAATAAAAACACACAAAAACATGAGACAAGCATTATTTTTTGATATATGCCTTTTTCTTTAATTATATTTTAAGCTGTTAAACATCCACCTCGGATTAAACCAACTTCATCAAGAATAAAATTAAAAATTTAAGCGCGTCAGCTAATTTTAACTTATTGTCTTAATTTATGTAATTAATAATTAATAAATCTTATTAATAATAATGAGGAAATATGAAATCACAACCCAGTAGGTTGAGTGATGAGTCGATCAATTTATTAATCTACTTTTTTTTTCTCAGTTTTACTTTTTTTTTTAAAAAAAAAACAATTACAAACATGTGAATGCAAGAATCAAGCCTGAAGCCTCATCTAAGCATGGTGGCATTGGTGGGTAACATATAGCATTAATTGTCGAAATAAGAGTAACTCTCCCAACTTGATTTCTCAATTTAAAGATGAAAAAACTTTGCATCTACAAAATTAAGTTTTGTATCCCGTTCCGCTTACATCCTAATTAGCCAACTCCTGAAATTATGAAGCTATCAACATGGTGTCTGCAAAATTCAACCTCCATCAACTTTTTGACTTCAAGTTCCTTCTTACCTGTCGGCGAATGAGAGAATTGGCAATTCTCCTAGAAATAAACTAAACAGGCGCGGGGTCAGAACAAGTAGGCAACGTAACCCTTTTAATTTTAGTGCACATACAGTAGATTAATTTTTCTTTCCAAATGAATCTACAAGTCAAATTTACAGAAGTGTAAAATTTTAATTTCTCTTCACGTTTATGTCATGATCGGTGAGAATGAATAGGCAATTGGGAACTCCAAAACGGCAAAATTTCATAAGGCCAAACAGTGAGAACGAGATGACCCGCTTTGGCTCTTTCTTTAGCAGAAGGAGGCACTGTACAACAGCTTTCGCTGGTGTTGTTTCTCGAAAGCCGTAAAAATGTCATCAATGGATTCCTCCCGTGATTCAACTGCTTCAATCTGTGCACAGAGATACATCATAGGAAGTCAGCTAATAGTGTAGAAATGCTTGATGAGAAGAGATAATTGCAGGAATGAAACAGACATCTTGGCAAGGGTCTAAAGTAAGCCTTGCTCCAGTGAAAGCCTCATCGTGGTTATCTTTCACCTCCACGTTTATAATCAATAATACAGTTTTCATCGGAACATGATCTCTGTTATGGAGATCTGCACATTTTTACAGAACAGTCAGACTCAGATTTAAACTCAGGGCCATGGGACTCGATATTGGTCTTCAATCATCATGTCCTAAGAAAGTTTTCCTAATGAAGGATAACAAATCCAGTCACCACAACAAACAATATTTAAGATTGTAAAATGATGGGCAATAAGAATTTTTATAAAGGAAAGTAAATTCCAAATCAGGTTTAATTAAGACTCATCTCATATGCAGGGAATAAGGACAGTGTAAATAACTTGACAGCTCAGTGAAGCCCCAAGGTCAAAACAGCAAAAATTAAAATCAGAGGCCATTAACTATGCACATCACAGGTAACCAGGAAACCTGTTACAATGGAATAATGCTATTCTCACAACTATTGCAGTAAGAAACCATATTAAACACAGAATCAAACTTTGATGCATTGCAGTTATGTTTTCAATAATAATATAGAAAAGGTCAAATAGAAGGTATATATGCAATCGCCCAACAAATTCTTGGTCCAAACAAACATCGTCGTTGCACAATTCTTTTTATGACAGAGACTTGATAGAGATGAGAAAATACCTAGAGGGCCCATAACTATCAATTTGTATTATAATAAAGGAATTTGAGAACGATCATTTATCTTCCCTTCTTTATCTACAAAGTGATATGCTTTTGAGATGTTCAGCCATGCGATGCTATCTCGATTAATAAACTCGTCACATATTCATTTTGAAAAAATTTAAATGAAAAAGTATAGAGAGATATTAAACAGAATAAGAAAAAATGGAATGAACTTGTCGTACCATGCATTATCGAGATGACATTTAGCTTAGAAGATGAATATACACATCTACGCACTTGTATAACTAGTAATACACAAAGGATGATTTCAAATTTTGGAGAACAACATTATTTACAGAACAAGAATTATTATCAATATCCATTAAGCTTTGACTCTATTTGAAATCGATAAAACTAAACATTACACACTGTTTTTATACAACCGTAAATCATCTACAGACTCATCTGTAAGGTTATAGCGACCTATACATGACACCTCAAAGCACTCTTCCTTCTGTTATAAAAGGTTTTGCCTACCGAATGCTTTTCAAAATGAATATAACTCGCATCTAGGGAAGAAAGTCATTTCCTGTAAAATCAAAGTCCGCCTAAAAGTAAGTTCTAACTTTATTATCATTTAAACCAATATAAATTTAATCCAAGGATAACCCTTATTTTTCCAGGGGAACAACCACATACATTATCTTTAGAATCGATCCAGAGCAAAAAGAATGAAACTTGGCAAAATTACGAACCTTCAGCAACCATATCAAAAACTTTTTCTTCAAATGTAAAAACAATGTCAGAGGATCCATCAGCAGCATTGTCTTGCCATCGTTGAGGTGCTAATTTTACTGTTGAATTCCTTTTAAGCATTGGTCAAATTCCATTTCACTTGTAGCTGCAGTTTCGTTAAGGTTCAACCTTAATGGTACAATGAACAAGAATTGAAGTGCCATGGATGCTAATGCAGGAATAATGAACAACAATGTTAAATAGAATTAAATTCATTTTTCTGAAAATTCGAACAAATCAATCAATCTTAGCATACTAGCCCGAACACTGAGGCATGCACAGAGTCGATTACTGCGTATTACAATTAACCCACCAGTTTCTGTTATCTTTTTGGCCAAAGAAAGAGGACGAGTAGGAAAATAGTTGGAAAAGAAGGAGGATACAGTTCTTGGTCTTTTCTGCGAAGATCGTCCAACATCTGCTTTAGGGAGTTCCAAAATCGTAGACATTGGGTTCTCTGAGGGAGGGGCCAGGGAGCTTAACGTGGGCACCAGTTCCATAAGAACACACATCGAAGCCCTGCCTTTTGAGGAGGGAGTGAGCTTCCATGCTTCGGTTCTGGTTCGAAGAACACACCACAGCGTACCGAAACTTCATGGTCACTGAATATGGAGATTCAAGGGATTGACTAGAAATTCGCTTCTCTTCCTCCTATTGTGTGAATGGAAGGCTAGAATGGTGAGGCTTCCGGCCACAGAGCAGCAGTGTTTGGTTGGGTTCTTTTCGGAGGGGATTCTTTTCTTCTCCCCTCCAAAATTTTGGAGGGGAGAGAGATAATTTATCATATCCTGACTAAATTACCAGATCATTTTTCCAATATCCTAATTTTACCCTTCGCCCTATTTTGTCCCTCAGCCGCTCCTTCGCGCGTTGTTTTCTTCCTCCAGTCGTCGTTGCCGCCACTGCTCCTCCAGCAGCAGCCGCTGCCACTTGAACCACCGTAGTCGATCGTCGCCTCCGCCATCATCTTTGTGTGCCTCGTCTAGTCGTCCTCGAGACTTCGACCCATGTGAGCTCCGTTGTCTCTTTTCCTTACCTCTGAATATTGCCATAGAACTTGTTAAAGATCCATCAAGTAGATTTTTGGACAAATCAAGGGGTCGCCGTCATGGGTTTTGTGTTAAATTTACTCAGATAAGGAATAAGTATGTTCAGTCGTTCTTGATTTTGTGATGAGCTTCTGGCATTAGTTAATTTAGATGTCATACTCTTTTGCCTGTTATGATGTTATCAATCCAGTTGATGGCTTTGGTTATGAGGATGAGTGGCTTTCGTCACGTCTCCGTTTTGTTATTCACTTTCATATTGTTATGAACTGAGGATAAATGCCTAAGAGGATTACTTGTGCTGCCTATGAGGGGGATTTCTATCTCTTGAAACATTGGGTTAAATGATCCCATAAAAACTGACTATGATGAAAGATCACCTAAGGTATGAACTTCATGCATCCGACCTATTCTTCCATGAATCACTTAATGATGAAACTTACTGTGCTAGCTCTTCATTAGGCATAAAAAAAAGTCTTGTTTTTATCAATAGATGATATCTATTATCTGATTAGATGTGTGTTTTTCATTAGGTTTTACCAGTTGAAATTGTTAATGCATAGATTTATGGTGGCTGCCAATACTTGGAATTGCATTGAAGAGCTATAGTTCAATTTGTTTGTATTTTTGTACGGTACTATGTGACTCATGGAAAAAATAGGTTACTATGTGAATTTTGGGTTGGGGGGAGTACTTGAAGGAGTCATGAGTAAAATAACTGGTAGTAGAAGTGGTTGAGATATTGTTAGGATGGATATGGCATAAAAGTTTTGGATGGATCCTGCTCCCGTCAAATTTTCGCTGCTGCGTATTCAGGTGCCATGAGTATAAGGTGGCCCAGAGTATTGACACCCACCTACCTCTCCCAGATTTTGCAATTGCAAAAAAACCCATTAAAGGCTCTCCAAATTTTCAGAGAAGCCCAATCAAGGTACCCCAAGTACCACCACAATGGTCCAGCATATGCCACTATGATTAGCATCCTTGGGAAATCAGGGCGAATCACAGAGATGAAGGACGTAATAGAGCAGATGAGGAGGGACTCATGTGAATGTAAAGATTCAGTCTTTGTATCAGCTATTAAGACATATGCTGAAGCTAGAATGGTAGATGAGGCTATCTCTTTGTATCATAGCATTCCTCGGTTTAACTGTATTAACTGGACGGAATCTTTCAATACCCTGCTGAAGATATTGGTGAAAGAGAACAGGCTTGAAGCTGCTTACCATCTTTTTAGGGAGAGCTCTTATGGTTGGCAAGTGAAGTCTCGTGTTCAGTCCTTGAACCTGCTTATGGAAGTTCTTTGCAAGAAGAATCGATCCGATCTTGCACTGCATATATTCCAAGAGATGGACTATCAAGGTTGCTACCCAGATAGAGACAGTTATGCAATCTTAATGAAAGGATTGTGCCAAGATGGGAGGCTGCATGAGGGTAAGCATTTATTATATTCAATGTTCTGGAGAATCTCACAGAAAGGCAGTAGTGAGGATATTGTGATATACAGAATTCTTTTAGATGCTTTATGTGATAATGGTCAAATTGAAGAAGCCACAGAAATTCTTGGTAAGATTTTGAGAAAAGGACTAAAAGCTCCGAAGCGTTGTTGTCACCGGCTCGATCTTACTCGGTGCAATGACGGTGAGGATATAGAAGGCATGAAGTGCATGATTCATGAAGCGCTTTTCAAAGGAACCATACCAAGTTTGGCCACCTACAGTGCTATGTCTATTGATCTATATAAAGATGGTAAGATTGTTGAGGCTGATAAAGTCATAGCGGAAATGCAAGATAGAGGCTATAGACCAACACCTCCTATTTTTGAGGCAAAAGTGGAAGCCTTGTGTAAAGAAACTTATGTAGATGAAGCAATGAAGGTCATAGAAGAGGACATGGTGAAAGCCAATTGCCTACCATCTGCCAGCGTGTACAATGTTGTGTTGAAAAGCCTATGTAATGAAGGTCAATCAATGCTGGCCCTTGAGTATCTAAATAAGATATCCAAGAAGTCAGGTTGCAAAGTTGACAACGAATCTTACACCATTGTACTGGAAACACTGTGTCGTGAGAGAAGATATATCGAAGCGAGTCAACTTTTGGAGCAGATGTCGATCAAGTCATATTGGCCTTGTGCTTATACTTACAATTCACTCATTGGTGGTCTTTGCTCTGTGGGAAGCCAGTATGAAGCTGTAATGTGGTTGGAGGAGATGATAAGCCAAGGTAAGCTGCCAGAAATTAGTGTCTGGAATCTATTGGTGTGTTTGTTTTGTGATTCAGAGAAGATGAAAGTGTCCACTGAAACATTACATCGCCTATGTAGGGTATGATTCTTCTTGCTTCTTTATTTACTAGCCTATTAGCATTCAGAATGTATTGCACTCTTGTAATATTAAGTTTACCGGTTTACCCCAGTCGCAGGATGTCATGAGATCTAAATTTTGACAGGATTTTTATTTTGATGCCTCACAGGCAAACCAATTTTGAAGTTGGTTCTAACCATTTTTGTTCTCATTTCTGCTCCTCTTGATTCAAATTCTAACTGAACTAGTCCTTATGTTAACTAATGTATCATTTAAATAGAGAATTACAATCAAGTCCCAAGGAAAGGATTTAATTACTGTAAAGTCCACTAACAATTTGAAGAGCATGCAATGACAAATTTTAGGGTAGCAAATTACGACAGGTACATACTGGTCACTTGTCATTGGGATTTCTTAGTAATTAAATTCTTTCCTTGAGGCTTCATGGTAATTCTCCCTTGTTTTAAAATGGTTGGCAATTCATTAACAAAGAGGCCAGTTTAGGTGTCCAGGGAATAAATATTTTATCTGTCAGTGTCAAGGGACTGGGGAATTGATCAATATTTCAAGAGTATTGTTACTAAATTTTATATTGCATAAGCTTAGTCATGTGCCCTCCTGGTTTCCATGCCCTACCAGTTGCCATCATCATCTGTGATTACCCTCCAAGCTTGAAAGCACTAGTGTCATTTTTTGTACAGGTTGGGGCAACTTCATTTCTGGGGACCAGAAGTCTCCAAAATCCATAAACAATGCATTGCGCGCACGGTGTGATATAATACTCAATTATTATGCCAACTAATCCCCCACACTAATCTGAATTATGTATTTCAATTGGCTATCAGAGTTCTGTTTGCAAGTCCTTCTCATAGCTACTTCCCACCCTACAAAATCCACTAGTTTCCTATCCATTAATTAATAATATTATTTATTTTATTGTTCCTGTTGGGCGATATGTTTATTTTGCTCATGCTTTTGGGTTGTGTTGTTTTTATGTTTGTTTGTATGATGATATTGGCCTTACTTATTTAATGGTAGGGACTTGAGTGGAATATACTATTACTGAGGGGAAAAAGGAAAAAAAAATCGTTAAATATTTTATGTAACATTTCATTTTGCTCAGTCTGAAATTAGATGTTCTGTAATATCTTAATCTTCATCAATTTTCTGTCCAAAGTGCGTAGATAATTGTGACGTCTGGACAAATACAACCTAGATGATACTTCGCTTCACTTTCTTGCTTAATGCTTATTTTAAATTTCTGTAAATAATCTTTTCCAATTGTGGGTGTTAATCCACGTGTCTTTGATGTTAATTCAAAGAAAATGGGAGGAAAAACAAGAAAACCAGCTTTTATATAACTCCTTGTAAGAATTTTCCTAAGTTAATAGATAGAAGATAATTTGCTAATTACTATATAGTCGTGGTAAGTTTTCGGAAAATAAATGTGAAATTCCTACAACTATAATTGAGTCAAATATATATATTTTTGTAATCTTTCTAAATTTGACACTAAACTGTGAAAACATGAGCATGAGAAGAAATTTTATTACGCCAGTTAAAGTATTTTACACCTTTTTTTCAATTGAACAAACAAGCACCGACAGTTTTAGATTACACGTGTAGGGTCAAAATCGTGATTTCATCACACACACACATATATATCCACTTGGCTCCTCCTTGCAATTTAGCTCATTATATTTGGCAGTAAACTGCGGCTTGCTGGCTGCTTTTAATTTCAAAT